TATGAGTAAGGAACAGTCCCTGACCTCAAGGAGCTCATTTCAAGACTGCACACTCACATTCCTACAAAGGTGAGACGGTACCAGAAATGAGTGAAGCGGCCTGGCCACTTTTGCAACCATTTTTTTTTTTCATGAAACAGCTGGTTGCTTTGCCCGTTTGTGGGGAGCAGAGGACAATATTAATGCAAATAAGGATTTTGTTACCATTAGAAAAGATCAAGCACACACATACGCACAGACAAGTGCACACATGTCATCAACAGTATCAGTATCAACAGGTCCTAGTAGGAATGCAAAAAATGCCAGCATAGGAAAAGCCTGAGCCAATGAGCACCTAACTGTAAACACGATGTCAAGACTAGGGGTGCAGAGGGGTGTGCAAAACCCCTGGCTCACAGCTAACATAGAGGATGGCAAGGGCAGAGCAGCAGAGACACATGGATGGCACAGCGAAGCCACTATCGCAAGGACCAGCACTTGATTTCTCCTATCATCTAGCTGCTGCCCATAGTGGGCACCCAGGGAGAGAAGGACACTCAGCCCTCCCTCAGCATCAGGCACAGTGCAGGAGCTCAAGAAATCTGGGGCAGCAGAATTACCCCCCTTCTTGAATGACTGTAGGCCCACATTTAATGAGCTAACTAGGGTTTCTGAGTCTGATGAGGACCTCCGAGAAAGCACCACAACTCACTCAGCTTTTGCAAGCCCTAGCACCAGGGCACATTCTTTCACATGACCCACATTCAGTAGCTGTTGTAGCAAAAAACAAAAAGAAAACAAAAAACCAAAATAATACAGCGTTTTCTAAATACCACACAAAAGGTCTCTTCTGTGTCCAATTCCAAACCCAAATGATAGATGAGACAGCTGTGCTTTAGCAGCCACTCCTGGGCTTTCTGTCCCGCCATGGCCCTGCCTCAGAGAAAAAGCCAAAGTCGCGACAAGGACCGCCAAATGTGTGTCCTCCACCCACACCCAGGTCATCTATTTCCTAGAACTGCACCTCCCCTGGGAAGCCCTTGGGGACCACTCTGCTTCAGTCGGCCCTCCTTTGTCTCACAGCCCTGTCTACATCTATAGTCTCGATTTTTTTTTCTGATCACCTTCCCCACAGCATCTGTAACCACTACTCCACTGCCCGATTGATTATTTTATCACTGTCTCCCCAACAGGAGTGGAAGCCCTACTCAGTTGGGGATTGTGGTCTGCTTTGCTCATTACTTTATCCTCTCTGATCTAAATGGTGCCTGGCTTTGAGTAGATGCTGAACAAATACTTGTAGAACAAAATGAATTTTCCTTTAAATGGAAAAACCAAACAGCAGAAATTACTTTTTTTTAATAAGATAACTTTGATTTATCATTATATAATGAGACTATAAAACATACTTTCATACATAAACACATTAAAAATATGGTCTGTTGGTCTCTCTGGGGCTAAACAGAGCCTACGCTGGTGAACCAACTACACAGGAGCTATGTCAGCACTGAGCATATCCCAGGAAATGCTTAACACACAGAGTTTTTTCTGCTCACATTCAAATAGGAATGTGGACAGTAAGATGCAATTAAGTAAGCTGTAGTGGAGTTCTTGTTTGAGGTTACATTTCAAAGTAAACTTAAAAAAAAAAAAACAAACAGGAATTTTGATGACCACAACTTACATCTTATAAAGCAAGAGAAGAAGTTTAGAAATTCCTTAAGAGTTCTTAATCACTGAATAGCTGTAAGTGGTGACTAAATACCAGACTGCACATATGTGTAATTCAAGGGCACGTATTTCAGTAGTTCAGGCCAGGAGCATATGGGTTGTTTTGTAGAAATTTTCCGTTGCTATTTCTATACACATAGGCTTCACAAAATACCATAATGTTCTTAGTCACTGACCAGTTTTTCTCTTTTCCTTATTTTATGACAACATCTGTTCTTTATGCTGCCAACAGTAACTCAGTCTGACCTTTATAACACTGTGAAAAGCTAACTTTGGGGAGTCCTGTTGGGGCTTACGAGGCTGGAAGAACAGAAGAGAAAAGCAGGTTATAATGTATTTATTCACTCTTGTCTTTTTCAAGATTTATTTACCAGAAAGAGCTACTCAGAGACAGAGAAAAGGACAGAGTCCATTTTTTTTAAAGATTTATTCATTTTTATTTGAAAGGCAGATGTACAAAGAACAGAGAGACAGAAGAGTGAGTGAACTGCCATCCCTTGATTCATTTCCAACATGGTTACAATAGCCAGAACTGGGCCAGTCTAAAGCCAGAAGCCAGGAACTTCTTCCCAGTCCAGCATGTGGGTACAGGGGCCCAAGCACTTGGACCACCCTCCAATACATTTCCAGGCACATTAGCAGAAAGCTCCATCAGGAGTAGGGCAGCTGGGACTTGAACCAACACCTGTATGGGAAGTGGGAAATGAGTGCCATGGGAGGAGGCTTAGCTTGCTAGACCACAGTGCCAGCCAATGTTAACCAATGTCATTTACTATCTATCATATAATCGTGATTATAAACTGACTCCACTGTATGGTACAATCATGGCTAAAGACATACTGGTAACTCCATAACAACAAAAATGGTGTATGTCAGCTTGTGAAATGATTCTATATGGAACTTCAATAGCCTGTCACAGGATAGTTCCTTGTCTTTTATACTTGACTGCTCTGATACAAAAAGAGAGAGAGAGAGAGAGAGAGAAATAGAAAGAAAGAAATTTTGCTGCAATAATTGAGACCTTCATTATATAACAATGCTTCACTTAAGGACTACTGAAAATATTAAAACCCAAAATTCCACTAAGCAGGGTTTTCAATAAACTGAAAAATCTCTCTAGTGTCTTCATGCATTCATTAAACTTTAAACTGTTTCTAAAGTATTATTCCATGTTTCTTCACCAGGTTGTAAAATATCTGTATTCCATCCTCTTAGAATTTTTAAATGATTACTTATATCAGTAACACAGACAGAGAAAGAAAGAAACAGAGATTCCATCTGCTGGTTTACTCCCCAGCTGCTGTCTGTGGTCGGCGCCTAAGTTGGAGCCAGGCTGGGAGCTGAGAACTCACTTCGAGTCTTCCAGTTGGGGAACAGGAACCCAAATACTGCAGCCACCGCTGCTGTGTCTCAGGGTCTGTACTGGCTGGCACCTCAGTCAGGGGTCAGAGCCAGGACTTGAACCCCGGGCACTGTGGCATCTTAACTGCTAGGCTAAACAAACTGCTACTCCCTCTCCCACCATCTGTACTGGGTTGGGATTCAGTGCTTAGTGATGGTCCTTTCACGCCTTTATCTCAGAGACAACGGAGGCCCAGAGAATTGAGCTGTCTTGCTGCTGTCCCTTCTGACAATGTTGCCCTGTGGGCACCTAACACTTCAGACCTGCAAAGACCCCAGGCAACACTGCCAGGCTGAAGCCACTTGGTCTTTATTATTGTTTAAGTTTTCAGTTAAATTTTTAATTTTCTATTTTTCATTTTTAATTAGTTTGTAACAGACTCAATATGGTTCCTAAATACAATTCCAAGAACATGATGCTATCCCCTTCCTTCCTCCCAACACTCTTTTTCCCCACTCAACTATTTTTACACAATCTTACGGTATGAAGGTTCTGATATCAGAGGCAATATCAATTGCCTACAACTGATCCAATTTTACTTATGTCATTCTTCAAAACCATCAGGAATTTATGTAAACATGTATATAAAGAACAGCACATTCCACTTTTTATGATCCCAAATCTTGGGAACCACTTTAATCTTTTAATCTGAAAGTTGCCTCCGAAAGCTTCTAGTGTGTTCCCTTCCTATTTTCTGGAGTTAGGAAGACTAACTTAGCAACCTAATCCCTCTTCTGTGAGACAGTTTACAACTCCATGAGGATAACTGTCACATCTCTACAAAGCCTACATTCACAGCCCTCTCAGTGACCTTTCCCAAGACCTACTGGCCAGCAGCACATGTGCAGTCATCTATGCCCTTGCAACAAACAATACAGCACCCAGGACTGACTGGGGATGCCACATCATTCCTAGACAGGTGTAGTAGCAATTTGCTTGTTTTGAACACCAGGTGGCTAATAACATAGTTTACAAATAGGCTGCATTTTTCATAAGATTTATTTATTTGTCAGGCAGGCGCACGCACACACACACACACACACACACACACACACACACAGATCTTCCTTCTAATCAGTCACTCTCCAAACGGTCACTACAGCTAGGGCTGGGCAAGACTAATGCCAGGAACCCAGAATGCTATCCGGGTCTCCCACATGGCAGCAGAGATTCAAGTATTTCGGTTTTCCCAGGCACATGAGCAGCAAACTGGATGGGAAGTGGAACAGCCAGGATTTGAACAAGGTCCATTATGGGATTCTAGCATCACATGTGACAGCTTAACCTGCTATGACATGAAGCTCATCTTAACAGACCGCACTCTGAAGCCATGTTGCAGTGCTGGTTTAAAACTCTCAGGTGGACAGAACCTGCTTCTGCCACGCCACACATAACAAGCTGGGCTTTTATCTCTATCGGGTCCCCTGCTCTTTCCTTGTCATTTCTGTGTCTGCCAAGTTAATGATTTAAGTTAGGTGGTCTCTTGCCTGAACACACTAACAGCGAGCCCTGCCTATATGCTCAGGTTCTTCCTCTTGGTGACCATAGAGAGCTGGCTCTTTCCTATCAGCAGCCACTCAAACACAGAGCCAAGGGATGATTCCTTGGAACCAGCATTTCAGGCGGGGGCAAGTGCTGAAGCTGACTTTGCAGTCACACATAACATCAATGTAAAGTCATCAATTTCACTGCTTCAGTCTTACAAGAATTTTTTTCACATTTGTATTTTATAGAAAAATTTACAAAGTTCCACAGATATCAACAATTCATAAATTCCAAGGGGCTTTTGGAAGTTGCTTTTTTTTTTCTTAAAACCACTATCAGAAGAATTTCACTTCCCATTTGAAAAAAAAAAAGTGCACACGCATACATGAGGCTGAGCGTTACTATGCTCAGTCAGGGTAACAGAAAAAAAAAAAAGCCACCACCATAAAAGGATGTGTGCATCGTCTCTCTTAAAACAACATGCCAAGGTTAACATATCTCAGTGTGGGCAGACACTGACGGCTACTGCACACAAGCCCCAACAAGCCACGGAGATGTAAGTACTGACTGCATATTCTGTCTCTTTTGACAAATTATTTTGGGCTGAAAAGATTTAACGTGAGAGGTAAAAGGAAAGAATTTATTTAGTAACAAGTTGTAAGTATGTTTGACCTTGTGCTACTGATACAGCTTAGGCTCTCTAGTGACTGGCAGTTCCAACGGGTTATTACTAAGCTGGAAAAGCAATGGGCTGTGCCAGGATCTCTGCCGAAGAACAGGGCTGTGTGTGAGTGTGTGTGTGTGTGTGTGTGTGTGTGTGTGTGAGAGAGAGAGAAAGAGAGAGAGAGAGAGAGAGAGAGAGAGCTGGTCACAATGAAAAGTTGTCAAGTGCAAATGAGCAAAGAATGCTAATACTTCAGGAGACTTTAATATGAGGGGAAAGGAACAAACTAAAAGTACAATATTTCCACACTTGAATAGACTGTTGACATACAGTATAAGAAGTAATTCAATACAATTTAAAATGAACAAAACAAGCAAATACTTTATTTTTGAAGAGGGAATCTATGTCGCAGCATTCTTGGGCTTGATTATAACAAAGGTTTAGATATATAAAAGGACCTATATCTTGGTTTATAGAAAGTTTACCAGCCCATCAGGAAAGAGCAAGGGCCCAGACTTTTACTTTTACTGTCCCTCAGCTGACACAGGGATTTTATTTCTAAAAATAAGCTATCAATTAGAAAAGTGAAAAAATAAAATGTACTTCTGTTGTTTGGTCTGATCGCATGGTCAGAAAAATTAAACACATTTTCACCTATTTTCTAGAAAGTCTTATGTTCCCTCCCTCACCCCCAGTCATCATCTCAAACCCAGCAATCACGCACAGAGATTTGCCAATACTTCGGTTCAAGTGAGGAATAGCGACCATAGGCCATCTTGGTGAAATAGAGGCTGGCAAGAGACTTCTAAAGGAGGACAGGAGGGTGCGGAATTTGGGGTTTTAGGTTGTTGTCGTTGAGGGTTTCAGTTTTTGGTGTCACTCGGAGGACAACAGGGGCTCTGGCTTCAGGTCACCTAACATTTCTGGCTTCAGCAACTGCCAGGTTCTTACACTAAGGCCTCCAGGGCAGGTGCACTAAGCTCACAGCCCTCCCTCACCCTGCCCACGGGTCTGCCCTGGGGTGACTCCCACAGCTGTGCAGGGGCTCCCATTCTCTCCTTATGGTGAGACCTACTTTTAGGGACCTTATTGGCAGATTGTTATTTTCTGGGAATGTTCTTGGTGGAGCCTCAGAGGGTTATGGTGCTTGTATCTCTGCCTGTGCTGTCAGCATGGCCTTGCTCGAGGAGCCCCTGGCACTTTCTGGACATAGCATTGCCAGAAACAGCCTCCTCCATAAGGCATTGTCACTCAACACTCACGCATTCCATGGGTGGGTGCAATAACAGTCCATTTATAAAGTGCTTTCTAGAGCTTATTATAACCATGGCCAGTCATTTAATGGGTAAGTATTAACCCAGGTCACTAATTGACCGTCTTTCTTACATTAACTAGATATCTATTGATGGTTGGTTCTTTGACATTCTGTGTCATAAACTGCATGACAGAAAGTCACTATCCTCAAGGAATTCATATTTTATTATTTTAAAGAAAGATTTCCTTATCTACTATCTGTCTGAAAGGCAGCATGACAGATGGCCACAACAGCCAAGGCTGGGCCAGGCCAAAGCCAGGAACCCAAGCACTGGGGCCATCATCTGATATTTTCTTAGGAGTGCTGGCATAGAGCTAGATAGGAAGTGGAGTTGTGCCACAACGCTGGCCCCAGAAATGTACACTTTCAAACAAAAGCGACAATCTAATGTGTGAGTCCTTCAGGAAGCCCCTCTCTCTGCCACAGCCCAAACGGCAGCAGTCTGAGGACATGTGGTATCCTTCAATCTGTGTAGTTCACTAGCCCCCCAGCAGGTCTTACAGGACGCTGGGCACTGACACACTGTGAGAAAATGCACATTAAAAACGCTAAAAAACTGTAGAGATAACAGAGAGCCTTGAAGTGCTTTGGAAGTCCAAAGAGAAGAGTTTGTTACATATATGCAAATACCCAAAAAGTTGTGTCAAAATTAATACCATAAAAACTATTAAAGTACTCATGTTCTTTCAACCAAAATTTCAACCTGAATTTTTACTATTAAAAATAGTCCTTAAAATGTTAAGATCTGAATTAATTTATAAAACTTTGACTCACTTTAAAGTATGCTAAAAAAAAATTCATAAGTTCAATCATTCAAGTCAATGTAGCAATCGCTCCCTTCCCCCACCCCCTGTCTGCTTGTTCAGGCAGCTGTGAGCTGGTAGATGTTAAAGTTTGGGGATGCCTTTTTTTTTTTAATATTTAAAAAAAATTATTTCTGAGATGCTTTTCTACTGATTTTCTACCTTGAATATGGGTGCATGTGGGGAATAAGAACGAGGGAGGATGTTGTGGCACCACATCTGCATTTTGGCGCCAAGCGGCTGGGTGTGAGCCCTGACGCCTAAAGTTGGGTCCCTGGGGTGCACCAAGTGCCCTGTGCCTCAGCACCTCTGCATGGGAGTGGACTGCTGGCCGTCTGAGAGGAGTCAGTGAGTGCTGATACCTGGAGTGCTGAGGGCAGTGCCCAGAATGCGGTCTGTGCCCAAGGGGTGGTTGCTGTCATTCATTAACCCTTGCCTCAGAAAGCAGCTCTGGCCCACAGCCAGGGAAGCTGCTATCGCACTGTTCACTAACAGGTACTGATTAGCTACTTTGGCTCAGCCGGAGACATAGAAAACTGCACCTCCACTGCCAGTCATTTCACAGACTTGTGGGAGATGGGAGGCAATCTCCACAACACGGTCACTGTCACAGAGCAAAGACGCACACCCCCCCGGCCTTTCTGAGGGCAGGCAGTGAAAATCAGGCAAGCACCCAGGAGCAGCTGATTGCAAAGTGCTGAAGGGAAGCAGGGGCCGAGAAAGCACAACTGGGGAAAGGAGGCAGGAGACAGCGGAGTGCGTGCGCACACTCAGGCAGACACAGCACGGCATGTCGTGTGACAGGAGTGGGAGCCTGCAGAGAGGGAAGGCGGTCAGCAATGCAGCTGTGGAGGGGCACAGCCCCAGCAGGAAGGAAGTTGAGCGTGTGACAGGGAGCCTCTGTCTGGCTGGGGGAATGGATGGGCTCCATCTGCAGCAGAGCTCCAGAGTGTAGGAAGGGGCTAATGGCAGGCAGGGTCAGTGAGAGCAGCACGCAGACAGGGGCTCACACCTGCAACACACCACTTCCCTGGAGGTCAGGGAGCGAGGTCAGGCAGGATGACAGCCCTGACACTGGTGTGACCCTGACACGGCTGCCTCAGAGTCAACCCTGAGCAAGCCTGCAAGGTAAAAACCTGAGACTGTCTCAAATTTAAGGAGCAGTTGTTTCTAGAGACTGTAGGGGTGCCAAGGAGAAACAAGCCCCACCCAAGGCAGGCCTCTGGCAGATGGTCACTGTCGGTCCCACAGTTTCCTACCCGACTCCAGACCCACCCAGCAGGCTGCTGTTAGAATCATAGTGGGAAGCTCTCGGTTTGACAGTTTCCCAAACATACCATCTTCACCCTAAGCAACCTCCTAGTCAGTGTGAAAGCTTCCACAAGTTATAGTCGGCCTCCAGGGTCTGTCACACATCCACAAAACCAGGGTCAGTGAGCACCCCAGCACGGGGGCAGGGAGGTCCCTGGGGGCTGACCTTGGAAAGCTCTCCTCTTGCATACCAAAACTAGTCCACAGACACAGGCATAACCATCAGTCTAGGATTCAAGACTGATGGGGATCAGGGGCGGTAGCAGAAGTCATCTGACAGTGCATCTGCACAGATTTGTTTACCAGGCTACTGGGGTGTGCATGGACCACTACAGTGATGGATCAGCAGATCCTGGCAAAGGACACCCTGGCTTCACCAGTGAAGTGACAGGCAGCTGTGACTGTGCTCCAAGTTCCTCTTCTGCAGTCAGGAATTCCTGTTGCCACCTGAGCATTTCATAGGCCATGGCGCACACAGGCTCATAGCCGACAGTCTGGTCAAGGTAATGAGAGAACTCACTAGCTGGCTGCCAGGCCCCAGCATGCATGACACCAGACCAAATTCAGATGTCTCTGTTTTGAACAAGACCAGGGAGGCTTTTTCAAGTAACTGACAAATCCTGATACAACCAGGTGACCAGGGAAGGACAAATGATGGTTTTCTCCTGTGTAGCATGTCTGTCCTTGGGGGAATGGAGCGGGCCTCAGCGCTGGTCCCACTATAGCAGAGGATGATCCAGAGCCATCATCTTTCCCTTCCTTAACTTTTCCGCTAGTCTCACATCTCCTTAATAAAATAGCCAAGCCACAGGAGATCCACAAAAGCCAGAGAAATAACTGCAGCAAACACCACTTACTGCATGTGTCCATACTTCGTAGGCTCACAACTTGTTTTTATAACAGCCTTTGGAACTTCTGCTCTGGGGCATGACAAAGAGTGAGCACTAGGAGTTAAGTCTTCTCCCTGGTGGAGCCACCCCGAGCAGACCCGGCCTTCCAGAGAAGTCACCTCTCATCAGTGACCACTCAGCATGCCTTGGCCCAGTCAAGCACAGTGAAGGCCTGGATTTCAACAGAATTTCTAGACCCACAGGTTCTTCTTGCTCATTCTTAAAAGAAATAAGCTCAAGAGGGCAAAGGTGACATTTCAGTCATGGTAAAGCAAAACCCAAATGCTGTTATTCTAGCACCAACTAAAACCTTTGAGTAAGAGGGAAGTTGGTTCACTTCTGCCATGAATAAATACCAAGACTAACCAAGCGAGTAAATCCGAGGGGTCGCAGGTGCCTATGTCCTATGAAACCTCATGTGTGCTTCCCGGCTGGTGGCTAGGATAAGCCTTTCAGGCCACAGATTACATCAGAGTTCAGACAACTTTCTTACTGATGAACAAAGAAGGTTTGTGGGACGGGGGATCTTTTAATTTTTTTTTTCCTTCCTGTGGCTAGAAAGAAGCTGTCAGATCATGTCAACATGTCCGGTTATGCAAAAATGAAATGATTTCTCAAGAAATGTTAGCAGCACTATTGAAGAATACACTTAGGTCTCCTTCCAAAAACATAAGCAAAACACCTCAGAAGAGATTTTGCTAAGAGATAAATTCTTATACACATTTGGGGAATGATATAATTCAAAGGGTCAGATATGACTGGGCACCAGTAAATACACAGTACAAAAATGGCTGTACCTCTCTGCTCCCCAGTAAAACCAGGAGATGTGTCTCCAGCTTCTAGGGTGCTGCTGGGCATTCACTTTTAGGGGAAGAGGAGTTCTGAAGGCCAGCACGACCCTGCTCCTCAGCAGAACCTGAGAAAGGATCCAGGGCTCAACTGGGCTTTGTTCCCTCAGAGACAGGCTTCTGGCCTTTGGTATGGAGCAAGGAAAGACAGAGTGGGTCCATGCACATGTTCTTGCTAGAAAGCACGAGGAGGAAATTCTTTAAAAAAGCAGTGTTCTTAGGAAAAAAGACTCAGGACATACTCTCCTGTGGGCCTTACCGCAGACAATACCCTGACAAACTACAGCAGTTTCAAATTGAAGTCAGTGTGTGTCTGTGTGTAAAGACATGTATGTATATATGTGTACATACATGTCAGAAACTGCTGCCTAACAGTAATTGAAACAAAAACACAAATTCCAGAATCAATATAATGTTAGATGTGAAAGAAAATAAAAGGCAGAATTTACAATCCAAAGGTGGCTGCAGATGCACTGCAGTGCCAGGCAGGCTTGGGCAACCCCTGCGGTGTGCTCAGCCCAGCTGACAGAATCTTCTCGGCACCACTCGCCCCACCTGCAGTTCCAGACCCTCCAAATACAAACAGATGTCTTTCCTGCTTGCCCAAGACCTAGCATACACAGGCACTAAACACAATTTCTGCTGAACCAAAGAATGGGGTTGGATGACTACAAAAGAGATAAAGTCATATTTGATGAAATCGTAGCAATTACAATTACTATGTTATAGTAGTTAGTCAATACCAGAATGGACCAATTACATGAAATAGGGCCCTCGATTTGGCTAGCATTATAGTACTAACAGTACTATAGCAAGATGGCTACAAGAAGCACCAAAGTGACATACAAGAATAGCTTAGTGGACTCTACCTTCAAGAGGTTTCTAAGGATCCAAAACCAATATCAAAATAACCCTGAGAGTCTTGGACTGAAGATCCCACCTGAGCCACCCCGTGGACCACGCCCATGCTCTGCAGGTGCTGTTACTCGGCTGACTCCAGCAAGGAGGCCATCAGCAGGAGGGCTTTCAACAGCCTGCCCATCTTCAGGGCTCTCCCGGAAGGGACATATCACTTGTGGGCAGGGTCGCCCCACTCTTTGGAGCTGTAAGGGCAGAGCCACTTGTTATATCGAGGCACCCCACCTAGGGCTACATGGAGCAGGGGTCCAAAGCCAGCTCAGCCCAGAGAACAGCCCTATATGACCTTTCATCTATCAGCCCCTCATCAGTACTTGGCTGGCATGGCTACCATTAGACTCCCATGTGACACAAAGGAAGAAAGGCAGGCATGTATCGAGTCAATGCATAAATCAGAGTCAGGGCCTGAGGGACAGCCTTTGAGAGGCACATTACTCCAAGAGGTCTCAGAGAGAAGAGCTTCAATTAAAAAGTTTCCCCCATCAGATGAAAAAGAAAGTACCTATTTATTGACTTATCAACTCAAGTTCATTGTTAAACATTTAGAATTGATAAAGCACAAAGATTACTTGTTCAAAATTATGTATGTGCACATACATTCAAACTGAGCTTTCTCTGTGTGTGTGTGAATGAGAGAAAGAGAGGGAGAGATACAATCTTCACTCCTTACTTCACATAATTTGGGCCCTTTTCTGGGCTACAGAGTATCCCACAGTAGGCTCTTCAACACACACATAATCAGCCCCCTATTGATGGGCATTTGAATTGCTTGCACATTTTCCCTTCAGAATAGACAGTGTTGTTAAACCTTCCTGGAGTTGACAGCCCTGAACCATTGCTGTTTCTGGATCCAACAGGGTTCCAATAAGCTGTGCCCATGTGCCTTCTCCTCTGAGCTACCGTCGGTCGTTGGCGGGTTCGTTTTGCTCCTGCCAAAACATTTTAAGGGCATTCCCCAGGAACCTGCTTTTAACTATTTTCAAAACACATTAGCAGAGGTTTTTAGGGGGGAACAACCATTTTCACTGAAATTAGAAAAAAAGTTCATAGGAAGCCCTTGATGACTGTCCCTAAGCTGCAATACCCTGTCTCCCATGTATCTGTTCTCAGTTATTCATAAGTTGCTCTGCACACAAAGCCTGTCATGACTAAACAGATGAAGCTTTTCTACTTTTATGCCACACAATTTTCAAGAATTCCTATTTCTTTTGTACAAAATTTGAAGGTCTTACTGTTCTTTGTTTTGTGTTCAATTTCACTAATTTCTGCAATGATCTTTGTTATTGTCTTTGGACCAACTCAGTTCTTTTCTAACCCCTCGGGCTGTTTTATTTAATGTTGTTTTCCATGTTTCATTTTATTGACATACACATTTCAGGTTTTATACCTTTCTTAAATCAACTCATTAAGTTATCTCACACTTTTGGCAGGTACTGTTTTGTCCGTTGGTTCTAAGTATTTCAAAATTTCCACTGTGATTTATTCTTTAAACTAAGGGTTCCTTAGAAATGTATATTTTGGTTTCCAAAGTGATCCTTCATCTTTTTATCTCTGGTTTGCTCTTTAGTCAGATGCTGTATTCTGTTCCATCGTGATTTTCTGACAGTTCTGAGGTTCCTCTACTGACCTAGCACGTGGTTAAGTCTGAAGGCACACTCGGGGCCTCAAGCTTTTGAATCAAGTTGGGCAAATCTGAGTCTTCAGTCTCTCTTGTACCCAGTGCTTTGTAGCCAAAAAAAAAAAAAAAAAAAAAAAAAAGGAAAAGAAAAGAAAAAGGAGTAAAGTTTTCCAATGGCTATGAATTTGCTGATTTCCCTTTTAGCTCTGTCGGTTTGCTGCCCCCGCACATTTCCATGCTGTATTTCTGGTCTTCGTGGACAGCTCTGTTTGCCTTGGGTAGGGGTGCTCACCACTGCTGGGTTTGCCTGGAGTGGTTTTTTTCCTCTTGCTGGTACTACTGCTCCACCACTTTCCTGGCTGTGCTTACCCAGGCCTATCTTTCTGAATCACTTTGAGTTCTACCTCTCCTAAACAACAAGTCATTAAGTTCCCAAAAAACTCAAACTGACACTCTGCTTTAATAAAGGCAGGTTCAAGCATCTGCATTTATTGGGCCATACTTCCACTCTCTCAATCTTGTGCTTCTGCTTGCCACCCTTGCTCTGTCTCCCCAGGATAGCCTTTCCAGCTTCCTCTGTGCTATTTCCAGTCCCACTCCTTTTGCATTAGGTCTCACTCTCACTTCCATTCTGTCACCTTCTCCACTGTGCACAGATACCATCAGTACATAGTGACACCTGCCAACCCTTAGGGCCTGTGGGCACCATGCTTTAAAATGGGGGAATTTACCCAACACCGTGGCAGAGAAGAGACATGCAAAAATAGAGTTGTGACTTTGAGATGAGATATACACATTGATAGCTTTATCAGAGTAACTTCCAGTTCTTCTAAAAACAGGCACACAGAATTTATTGCTCAGTCTTCCCACTTTTACCAAAACTCACGTTCGTATATGGAGCTTTACTGTAGAGGCTTATAATTCTTCAAATTAGGTTACTAGAACAAGGAAGAACTGGAAGTAATCCAAATGCTCACTAAGGGAGTAGCTAAGCAAACTGTGCCTTAACACTAGGGTACTACAGAGTACCTATCAGACATAGATCACACTGTCAGGAAGGCGTTCAGTAGATAAAACAGGACACAAAACACCACCTGTGTGATGCCTGTGATTATCTGTAAGGGCAGGAATTGACGCACCAATGGAGTACCTGCAAAATGACAACATTTTCCTTAAAGGAGCTTGAGTTCTTTTCTTTTTCGGTCATTTTACTCACGGTCTTCTTCTTTTTCTTGTTCTCTTTTTTTTTTAAACTTAACTTTCAGTTCCTAACAAGGTCTAAACTTATTTCTCATACTTTTTAGGTTAACACAAATCAGATCACTGTGGTAAGCTCATATTTCGCTACATAAATGTGTGACTGATTTCATTTCCTGGCAGTGATATGCATTTGGAAAAAAAAAAAGCTCAACTGAAATTCAATTTACAAACCAAGTTCAACGACTAAAATGTGGGGTGTTTTAGATGATTTTATTCTCAATCAGACAACAATTCAGAAAAGGAAGAGGAATCTGTACTTAGGAAGTCAGTGTTTTTCCCACTCTTCACAAAGCTGCCCTTGCCTTGCGGAGAAGGCTCTGTTTCCCTCTGCCAAAGCCATCAAAGCGGGGAGAGAATATATAAACCTTTTCCCTCTTCTTCCTGGTGTCATATGGGCAACATGCCATTTTTTAATAAATTCCTACAGTTTATGCCTGTCTTGCATTTCAGCAATTAGACCAAATGAGGCAGTGAACTATTGCTATGTGTTCCATGTGCTTTTAAATAAACGGATCTTTCTTGGATTTTCTAGACATCTCGACCACCCCACCACTGGATATAAAAATGACAAACAACTTTACTACCCTCTCAGTACCTCCTCAGGGCAATGACTGTGACCTGTATGCCCACCACAGCACAGCCAGTGTGTTGATGCCTCTGCATTATAGCCTGGTCTTCGTGGTTGGGCTGGTGGGAAACTTGCTGGCCTTGGTCGTCATTGTTCAAAACAGGAAAAAAATCAACTCTACTACCCTCTATTCTACAAATTTGGTGATTTCTGATATACTTTTCACGACTGCTTTGCCGACACGGATAGCCTACTATGCACTGGGCTTTGACTGGAGAATCGGTGACGCCCTGTGTCGGATCACTGCTCTCGCGTTTTATATCAACACATACGCGGGTGTGAACTTCATGACCTGCCTGAGCATCGACCGCTTCTTTGCTGTGGTGCACCCTCTGCGCTACAACAAGATAAAAAGAGTTGAACATGCAAAGGGTGTCTGTGTATTTGTCTGGATTCTAGTCTTTGCTCAAACCCTCCCGTTACTCATCAACCCTATGTCAAAGCATGAGCCACAAAGGACAACATGCATGGAATATCCAAACTTTGAAGAAACAAAACATCTGCCCTGGATTCTGCTGGCTGCCTGTCTTATAGGCTACGTGCTTCCACTGGTGATCATCCTCATCTGCTATACTCAAATCTGCTGCAAACTCTTTAAAACTGCCAAACAGAACCCGCTCACAGAGAAATCTGGGGTAAACAGAAAGGCTCTCAACACCATTATCTTCATCATTGTTGTGTTTGTTCTCTGCTTCACACCTTACCATGTTGCAATTATCCAGCACATGATTAAAAAGCTCCTTTTGCCTGATCCCCTGGAATGCAGCCAACAGCACTCGTTTCAGATTTCTCTGCACTTTACAGTATGCCTGATGAACTTCAATTGCTGCATGGACCCTTTTATCTATTTCTTTGCATGTAAAGGTTACAAGAGAAAAGTGATGAAGATGTTGAGACGTCAAGTCAGTGTATCAATTTCCAGTGCTGTCAAGTCAGCCCCTGAAGAAAATTCTCGTGAAATGACAGAATCACAGATGATGATACATTCCAAGTCTTCAAATGGGAAGTAGAAAAGATTTCATTCTGGATTTTTAGCAAAGTAAGCTGAAAGATGAACTTTGCTAGACTTGTATGAAGCAAAGTGATCATTTGCTTCCCAATAAGGATTCTTTTGAATTCTTCTCATTGGGAACTATTTTTCACTTCCAACTTGAGAGTGAACTAATATATTAGTATACATGTGTATGTAAGAACATTTATGTGATGCATATATCAGCTGGCAAGAAAAGCTGGTAATGCAAAGTTCTAATCTGTAAATGCAATTGTATGCCAAAGGGGAGGTCACCTTAATAGCTCTCAAGGTAAAAAGAAATTTCATGCCAACAAAAATCAAATCATTATTACTCCTTGCCAATCACTTGGCAAAAGAAAAAAAGACTGATTAAAATTGTACATTGCTGGTGTAAAAATGTTAATATTGTAAAATAGTTTTGATAAAATTTCTTACATCCATGTTCCTTAAGATTTCAGATATTATTTCCTCAACACCATCAGTTGTTTTTATTTTATTCTGCGTCGTAACTCTGTTGCAAAGCACTCTTTTGGAATAACAAACAGGATGGGATATGATGCCAAGCACGCCCCACAATGCTGCCTGTCAACTCTAAACAGCACTGCCAGGGGAATTTCGCTACCCAGCAGCAGAGAGTTTCAGCAGTCAAAGAGGTCAGGAAAGCCCTTAGCTTGTCTCCTGACAGCACGGTGTGTAAGGACCACTGCTCGGGAGTGTGACAAGGACTTCTGAATGCAGCCACAGGTGAGGAAGGTTCCCAGTGATATACTCTGATTGGGAATAAAGTAAGACTAGAGGCTTGATTTTCTCTAGAGTTTGAGGGGATCATTTCTTATTTATTTCAGGTTGCTAGTGCCTTGTATCACACTGAAACAGTTTGGGTCAGTAATTTGGGTTACCGGAAAGCATGGAAAGGGCTTATGAGCCATAAGCAATAATGCCGCTGCTTGACTGAATAAAACAAGCAATAAAATGAAAAATTATAAACTTAAGAGTACATAGGATTCTTCACAGCATTACACATTTGTTTATATGAATACCTTAGTATGAGACACATGAAGTTTACACATATAATTCACCTGTCTGCCAGCACAAATTCGTTTCACCCATCCTCTGAAACTACACCCAATATGGAGGTCTGTTGGCAGAAACACCAACTTTGACAATGGGAAAGTTAAAAAGATGTAGAATGGTATATCATGAGTCACATTTCAAATTTTCTTTTAAATTATTTTCTTAAGTAAATTTTCAGTTTTTATCCTGTAAGAAAATCAATCTTAATGGCTGATGCAGTACTCTCAGATTCACGTTACCTTAATTTCACAAAGAGCCACTTGAGTATGAAGCTACTGACAAAAACAAGCCCTGGGTTTTTACCACTTCAGTGACCAGCAGAGATCATGTGGGTGGAAGCCAGAAGCTATGTCTACAAACTTCCTGGAGTGAAGAAGGAAAGACAAATGCTAAGTTTCTGTTTGTTTGTTTGTTTGTGTGCCTTTGGAAGTATGTGGCACCTAGGCCGTTACCTGTACATCTTGAGGAAAGCACTGTAAGTGAAGGCTCCTGAGACATGCAGAAAGCAAGCCTCCTTCATGTCAGATTCTCTTTGTGGAAGCCTGCTGGTGTGACTGAGTGAGCACAGGCCAAGGGGTGACCAGCCTTTACAGCATCCACAGCAGATGGGAGTGCTATGGAAGGTCCGTTCTCAGGCACCTTCCACCAAGAAGGCAAGGGCCTTCGACTGTGTATAAATTAGTAACATATTTTTTTAAAGATTTATTTGTATTATTTTTTTATTGGAAAGGCAAATATACAGAGAGGAGAGACAGAGAGGAAGATCTTCCGTCCGATGATTCACTCCCCAAGTGAGCGCAACGGGTCGATGGTATGCCGATCCGAAGCCAGGAGCCTCTTCCGGGTCTCCCACGTGGGTGCAGGGTCCCAAAGCTTTGGGCCGTCCTGGACTGCTTTCCCGGGCCACAGGCAGGGAGCTGGAAGGGAAGCGGGGCCGCCGGGATAGAACCAGTGCCCATATGGGATCCTGGTGCGTGCAAGGAGAGGACCTTAAGCACTGCGCCACTGCGCCGGGCCCAGTAACATATTTTTTAAACTGCTTTATTTTCTGCCTCCTCCCTGTCCTATGACACCAATCCACATAAAAACCATAGACAAACTATCTTCAAGCAAATTTTGTCTTTTTCTGAAGTCTGTTCCCTAAACTCAGATAATCCCTCTTCTTCAAAGGTCCCACTTGTCTATTCCATTCATCAAGCCACATTCTGGCTTCGGGGTATCCCACCCACCATCTTGTATTTCATTATTTTCATATCTAATATATTCCTATCACCAGTAGGGAAATAAGAGTAACAGAGACAGTGCTGGCTAAATGTTGTCAATTGTCACAGAATGAAGGAGGTAAGCTCACACTTCATACACTGGGTACAAGTACTGACTACTTGAGTCAGGCTCGGCAATACCTTCAATAACAACAGAGTCAGAACTGGTCACACAGGGACGCAGACAGTTATCACCAACAATAATTATCTCTTTCATACTTTTTACTTCTAAAAGAATCATCTGCTTACTTGGAAAACATTCTCAAAGCAAAGTTATTTAGTCAAACCAAGTGATGGCGTGGACTAGCATGGGCAGCAGAGAGCAGATATCAGATGCAGGAAACGGCAGCACACGTGCTGGGTGAGCTCAGGATTACACCACACCAGCTCCGCTATTTGTGATGCCTTCCTTCCAGGATGAGCAAATGGTGTTATCCATGCTTTTTAAAGAAACCCAGTTCCAGGAAAGGTAACTAGTAAACCAGAGGCTACTATAGGGACATAATCCCATCACTAAGTTCTCACCATGAGGAAGACAGAGCAGAATCATGTAGATGCCAAAAATTTTTCAGATGGCTTCAGTGTGTCATTTTATAGAACAGCCAATATGCCACTTAAATAGATAATGACATGCAACAGGGGGATTACAGATTGAACTAGGCCATGAACTAAATGGGTACAAAGACCTCATCTGTCATATACACAGAAACTACAACATGGGAAGTTCTCAAATACTCATTTAATTGAACAGAACGTGTTTTGTACCATTATTAGCACTATTCTAAATATTTGTGAAGCACCTGAGTTCTTAGCAAAACAAAATATTTTAAGGTGCTAAATTATATGTGTGAAACTTCACATGTAATGTGACATGGTGAAATTGGAATTTATTTTTAAAACAATGTAAAGACTAATTCTTATGAAAGGGAGAGTGACAAAGAGATAAAACTAGAGAAACCGAGAGATACAAAATTTTATTTTATCTGCTACTTCACTCTTCAAGAGGTGGCAACAGCCAGGACTAAACCAAGCCAGACCCAGGAGCCAGGAAGCCCACTCAGGTCTCCCACATGAGTTCCGGGACCCAAGGACTTAGGAACCACCTACTGCCTTCCCAGGCACATTAGCAGGGAGCTGCATCACAAGCAGAAGTTGGGGCTCAAACTGGGCTTTTACTATGAGACACTAGGTGTCACAAACACTGGCTTAACTCATTGTGACACAATGTTGGACCCTGGAGCTGGGATTTAACCCCAAACATCTGCCCTGGTGTCCTAGACCTGACTCAGAACACTCAGATACTACCATTCATTACAAGTTCACTGGGGCCAGCACTGTGGCTCAACAGGCTAATCCTACACCCTGTGCTACCTGCATCCCATCTGGGTACCAGTTCATCTCCCAGGTACTCTATTTCCAAAAAAGCTCCAGCTTGTGGCCTGGCAAAGCAACAAAGGATGGCCCAAAGCCTTGGGACCCTGCACCCATGTGGGAGACCCAGAAGAAGTTCCTGGTTCACAGCTTCAGATCAGCTCAGCTCTGGCCACTACAGTCATCAGCGAGTCAATGAGTGGACGGAAGACCTTCTCTCTGTCTCTCCTCTCTGTAAATCTGCCTTTCCAATTAAAACAAAATAAACCTTTAAAAAAAAAAAAACCCAAAACTACATTCATCAAGAGCTAGTTCCAGTTTGCCCTCTAGCCTGGATGCCCTGGCTCCACTTCCTATGTTTTGGACTCTCCCCATCATCAGAGCTGACTCAGGTCAGTGGCTTGCCTCACACACTGCAGCTCTCTCATAATCCTCTCAGGTACAGACTTCAGCAGGGAGCAGGACCTGGCCCGCATCTCCGTAGGATCTTGGCTTTGTCCTTTGTTTCCCTGTGCAGACTCTGGCCTCACTCACCTCAATCATCTATAGTCTTTCTGTCTCTCTGAGTCTCTCAACTGGATCAGAAATTTCTGCCTTCCTTTAGGGTGCTGTACCGGAAACCAACAGTAAAATTAATGGCAGTGCCAACAATAAACACTTGCTGGCATGTCACATACATAAGCTCCCTCAAGCTTCACAATAATTCTATGAGATTTTCCTATTTACTATCCCTTTTTCATAGACCATACAACTCTGGTTCAATGAAGCGGAGCGACCTGCCCCAGGTGGCACAGCTGGCGAGTGGCGGGGGCTACACATGGACTCTGGTAGTGTCACTCTGGGTTATGCACTCTTCATTGCCCTATTTTCTTTCTTGAGCAAGTGGAAATATGTGTCCCTTGCAGCACCCTCCAAGAGGTACTTACGGCTCACCAAATAATCCTTAAATGTCCTGGGTGGGGGCATATGACTACTTCTGGCTAATGAGCTGAGGGACAGCTGGGGTGATGTAAGTCACTCCCAGGCTGAAGCGTTAGAGTAGTGATGGACAGTCCACCTAATTCTTATCCTGCCACAGGACCAGGACCTGTCCTGAGGGTGGGAGCATGAATGAGCATGTACTGACCTCTGTCTCTCATCCTGCACCCTCCCGTGTTGGACACACAGGAAACAAGACACACATTTATTCAGCCAGAGGCTCAGATCCCAGGCTTCACCTGTAGCTGCCGAGGTAAGCTGCCCTATTCAGATTTGTTAGTGTCTGATTGTAGTGGAGTGAAAAATACCAATGCACAGAGTGTAAGCAAAATGCAGACACTATCCGGGTTCTCCTAGAATCAATTCATCTTCCTTAATCCCGCTTTCATTGTCTCATTTCATGCACAAGGACAGAGAACAGCTCCCTGTGGTCAACCACATCAAGTTCAAGTTCCTCTCTTGCATTTTCAAGTCTCTTCATTGCCCAATATGTAGTTTTATAGTTAGTCTGGTGGGCTCTGTCTCTGTCCCTTAAGCAGATACCTGGTTCCCACTGCTTAGATCAATCTGATTTTCCTCTACTAATACTTACACTTGCATCCAAAGCAGACCTCTTCTAATTCTTTGAGGACACGAACACACCCCCGCTTCCTTTCCCCTGACTTAGTTGGCTCACAGTCTACGCCATGTGGCTGTAACTTGGACATATATTATCTTACAAAAGGAGGCATGAGCCCTGCTGCCTGAGACCAGTG